TTTTCAGTGAAGTCCTCCATAACGAAACATATGAATACCACTTCGGGCATTTCTGCTTAAAATTCGCTTTGTTAAATACGTTACTGAAGGTAGGAAATCTAATCGAACAGTTTTGGTTAGAGATCAACCAGGGGATAAGTCTAGGAAAGAAAACAGCGTTGAAAAACAGCGAAGAAAACAGCGTTGAATTTGTAAGAATCTATCCAGTCAAGTCATGTTTCTGCAGAGCCGAGTTTTTCTCGTGCCCAGGCCCGCCGGTTTAGAGAGACAGATGGCTCTGGGGACTAGGATGTTAACAGTTTAGACAGGAAAAACACAACCTTCAATTCAGAAGCCACCATTTACAGCTAGGGAATAGAACGAGAGATAACCAGTAGAAGACGTTACATGTAATACAGGCGAGCAGAAAAAAAACAACAACTGACAGGTCTAATACAATTACATAGTAATTAAGTAATTAAGTAATTAAGTAATTAAGTAATTAAGTAATTAAGAAAATTTCACCGAATTTTACTCAGTGATAGGAAGAAAAACTAGCCTCAGGCTCGACTAAACTTGATTAATTGAATGGGAAACACAATACACACCAGATAACAACTAAAGGGAACACATTTTTCCACGTTATGGCAAGTATTTTTTGGAAGACTTGGTGTTTGGTATAGAACTTGCAGTTCTGCAAAAACCGTGTAAGATCAGCGCTTGCGCTACGTGAGATCAAGGTAGATCGTGACCAGACCAAAAAATAAGACACTTTAAGGAATACCGTAAAAGTCGGCCAAACAACGTGAGACGCGTGAATACAATATTTCGGCTGGCCATCACCAGCCTTCTTCAAGCAAGTTTACATGGGATATATATGAAGAACAGAAGTGATCTGAGCTGCCTACGTGATGTGTAAAAATAAGAATTACAAAATAACAATTAAAGGAAATGTAGTACAATAAAGATAACAATTTACGGTGAAATTTACATTTCAGCTCTTTTGTTGAGGCGTACAGGCTCTGGTGTGTTGGCTCGGTAAATGAGGAATGCCTCACGTGCCTTTCTTATGTAATCACGAATAGACTTAGTTTTAGACTCAAAATAAATTGAAGGTTGAAGAAACGATCGTATATACCCCGCTCATGTGAACTGCGGTGAAACTACTTCAACACGAGTATCATTTTATTGACCAAAACCTCATGACTTATATATTTAATAATTATTACATAGCTATCTTGGCGAGCAGGCCAGATGAGCCTATTCCTGTGTTTTGATTGGCTAGCCAAGCGTTCCAAACGAGGAATCTTACCCGCACGGGATTACCCGCTGCTTCACGAAGAAAACGGTTTTCTTTGTACCATAAAATAAATCTATTACTGACCAGGTTTGGTCGGTCAAGATGGTTGAACATAAGCCTTGCGTGTTTATGGACCTTGACAGCGCCACGGTCCATAAACACATGTAACGATAACTTGGCCAATGTCCAGCCATTGTTATTAATAACTCCTAAAACTCAATAAGAATTACGGAAGGCCACCTTGGCAGATATCATGGTTGTCAATTATTTCGGATAGCTTTTATACTCTGTAAAGATGAAGGTAAACGGCCGACCTTGATCTTCCGCCAAGTTTTGCTAGCCAATCAAAACACAAGAATAGGCTCATCTGGCCTGCTCACGAAGAAATCTATGTAATAATTATTGAATATATAAGTCGTCAGCTTTTAGTCATCATCTGCCAAGTTCTACCAAGTTTTCTCTGATATGGCAGCACTTAAATGCAAATGTGCATGTGTAAATAAAAGTACTAAATGTGACACAGAGGGTGGCAAGTCTGTGTAATAATTGTTTTATTTACATGCATATTGCCGTGAATGTATAATTATAAGGTTTTTGGCTTAAGCTAGTTTTGTCTAGAAATTTCTTGAACCAGCTGCTTTGCTTCGGAAACGCAGGAACTTAGTACTAAATCAAACAAATTTATAAAATTTCAAAACAAACAGTCAACATAAATTTGAGACATTCATTGTACACATCCAACGAAAAGCGTGCAGTGTCCAACTACAGCACCAACTGACTTAGAATATAAAATTATGGACAATTTATTCCAAAATAAATAGAGTCGCTCATTATAACGGCCCAATGAATAAAGAACTGTAGAAAGAGCTGTAATTATCAAAAGGCTTTCATTTCCAACACCTGCTGTAAACGTGAAATTTGCGTGCCAATTGCAAATTGACGAGCCTCAAACAAAGAAAAGAAAATATTTTTTGAAATGCTGCTTTTGAAGATACTCCTCATTTTATTTTGGATCGCGAAGAAAGGTATACTAGGCTTTCTACTTTGTGTTCAATATAAACTGCTGTGTTTGAAGGTGATCAGGACGTATATGTTTCTTATTATGACAAAAAATTCAAAATCTACCCAAATATGTTATCACTGATAAAACCTTTCAATGTTCCGCCACTAGAACAAAATTGTAGTCTTTGGAGAACACTGTGAGAGATTTTGTAGAAGTTGGTAGAGATCGCTAACTCTTAACTTGCCGATGTCAAGAACTGACAATCGACAAAGAGTGATTTAGAAACTGGCCGTACATGTCTCTCATGTTTTTCACCTGCACCATGCACATTTTTAGGGCAACGGCTAATACACGAAGACTAAAACCAATGCTTTTAGTATGTGTTAGCGTAGATATCGGGTAATAATATACTCGGCATATTGGAGGAGAACTGACCTGATATAACATTTTGCAGTTAAAGAAACTCATGCCCATTGTCATTACACGTAATTTACAGTCCCGCTCAGGTTAATGAAAGCGAAGGGTACTTCTTGACGACTCAAAACTGTTCTAAATGTAAGTAGTTGGCAGGTTTTTTATATGGACGAGAGCTTGATATGCGCGAAAATAACACTTCCAAATTACCTGAATGTCTATCCCGTTAGAGGTAGTCTTTCAGTTTGTAGTAAATTAATTTCGAGTCATTTTTTTTCAGATTGCTTATTTGTAGCCGATATTTCCTTTTCAGAATGTTGTCGTATCAAGGAGTTTTCAGCATCCATTACAGGAAAATATTATTTATTTATGGTAGATATTTCCTTTTCAGAATGTTGTCGTATCAAGGAGTTTTCAGCACCTATTACAGGAAAAGTTTTGGCCGATCACGTTATCAAGACTTTAGATGTGGCGCAAGAAGAAACGTGCAAGATTCACTGCTACCTGAGCGACATCTGCCAATCAATTAACATAAGCCCTCGGCTTGACAGCGGCGTGTGGAGGTGCGAATTGAGCGATACAGACGAAAAACAAAATCCAGAGAGTTTCATGGAAGCTGACGGCCACAAATATTACGCGACGAAGGTAACTGACATTTTGCCTGGTTGTCTGCTGTAGTTCTTCATTATTGAACTCCTACTCGTTGAAACTTTTCCCCTTTTTTCCACAGTCATTAATTTTGTATGACTATATATTTGTAATTACTTGTCTTCAGGCCTTAGGAGATGTATTTAACTTTAAATATCCTTTCCAAAAGCTAACATTTGTAACATGTTTTATTTATCTACTTCCAGCACATGTAAAATACCTCCATTTGCTGATATTTCGACCCTCTACACTATGTTACAGATATCAGTTGAGAAATGAACCAAAATCGAAAAAAAAACACTGAAAAATTAACGGCGCATGCATTATTGAAATGAAACTCTCTCTACAAATCGTAAAAAAAAAAATTGTTTAAATTGTTGATTAACTATCCTGAGTAAACATCCTGTGACGTTCTTTAGAAATAAAATTGATTTTTTTTTTTCCTGATACAGAATCCCTGCAGAAGTTCTCCATGTGTAAAGAATTCAACATGTAGACCGAATTTCCTAGATGATGACAGCTTCCAATGCATCTGTCCGTCAGGCTTTACCGGAGACGAATGTAGCACAGGTACCAGAAAATATAATCCAGTCTAAATATTCAAAACGAATAACAATGTCATTATACTTGTACATGTAACTGATCAAAACACACTAAGAAAACAGCTCGGCTTGTTCTAAAAATTACCAAAGCGATCTAAAAGAGGTCGTATTATTATTTTATAGGAACATAAATAGTTGCATACGGGTTTTCGCGTAAGTTCCGATGAAAATTCTTAATCAGCCAATCTGAACGCGCTTTTTGATCAAAAAATGGTTTTTTTGAATGGTTTTTGTCCTTTCAGATGTGGATGAATGTACTACTGGTTCTCATAACTGTTCAGCTGATGAATCCTGTGTTAATAACGTAGGATCATTCACTTGCTGCAGCAAAGCCAATGGAAATAGTACAACATCAATAATAAGTAAGTGTGACTGAAAATGAACTAATCAGCTGTCTATGGTTGTAGTTACACGGTGTTCTAGCGCCTAGTCTACTGCCGTCATGTTACCCATACATAATTTGTGTGTGTATGGTTTTCTGCCAAGATGTGTGTTCAAAGCTATAAGCTTGATTAAAAATAAAACAAATATCAAAGCAATACAATGTAGAGGAGAATTGCAACTCGCATAAAGCTGACAACTTTGTTGTTTCCAAGAATCAAGCCGAGGAGAATTTGAACCCGTGACCTCCCGTTGACATGTCCAACACTCTATAATCATGAGAAGAACGAGGATGGACACTATATAATTGATAAGAAAAGTTCTCTTGTGATTTATAATTTATGATGCAAATTAAACTGTAATACTAGCTGAATTTAACAACCTTTCTCTATACCCCAGCGTGATGCTGGCTTGACCTTATAACTGTAAATAAACTGTTTGGGCCGGGTTGTTCAGGGCCCGATTAAGCTAACCCAGGAAAAGGTAGAATTTTGATTTGAGTTTTGTAACTTTGTGGTGAGGTTTTCTGTGTATTGTTTTGCCTTCTGTTTTGAGTTTTAATAATCACCATATGCACAAAACAAAGCAGCAAAAAACATTTCTATAAAAGAAAAAGTTATAATTCGGTAAACCTTTAATCCTGGGTTAGCGTTAACCGGCTTCCGAACAATCCTGCCCTGTCTTTAACAAGTTAACCTAACATGAGCCCGCGATCCAATCGAAAACCAGCACTTGTTCAGCGGTCAATTTAAAAAAACACGTGATCTCGATGAGCTGTAAACTTGAGCCCGCGATATGGTCACGTGATACTGGTCAGCGGATACCTTATTTTGACAGGTGTCAATTGATCATAACATGGATGTCCAATATCGAAGAAGTACACGGTAAACCRAGGCTGCATGTCTCTGTCAACCTATTATTTGGAGTATGGCCGCCATGTTGCGCGACTCCGTCGCCCGCCGTCGCCGTCGTGCGTACGCACCCACGAGCAATACCGCTAGCCATGATAACCATGAGAAAATCAACTCATGGGTTTTCATTTCTTTCCTATATGAGTATTGGGCTCCGCTTGGCGGCCCTTGGGGCCGCCGGAGCTCCGCTATAATCATTTTGCACTTATTGCATTTTTTGTTGCTGTTAATATTTACAGGATATAAAGGTTATAATCCAGACCACCCAGCCTGTTCGTGTGCAGATGTCTTAATTAACACACCGTAAGGCGTTTCGTGACATAGCTAGAAAAGTCACTCCAAATCAAACTCAGTATAAGTAAGCTTGCATCATAATCAAATGCCCAAATAATCGTCGTACTCAAGAAGCTGAAGTTGCTAAACTCTACGCATCAGTAGAGCTCTGTAACGTTTTCCACGTGCATCATAAGTCGAGAAAGTCGCTAATTGAGTGAATTTATAAATGGGTAAATAATTTATAGCCACAGTTATGTCATGTCGGGTAATAGAGAACGATGGCAAGCTGAGAATGAAGAACAATTCAAGTGGTTCAAGCAGTATTGTTAGTAAGGTGATGCAAGATTTATATTAATAAGAAGCAAAGAACGCAGTGCCTATTTGTTTAAATTAGCCTCAAGAAACCTCACCTTTAAAAAGAAGAAATTGGACATTTTTTTTACTTTTTCCTTCCACATGTTTCCATTTTTCGTGTTTAACTTCAAGGCCATTTCTTAGTTCAAGTCATGTAATTGATAGTAAGGTTACAATTGATGGTATTTTTGATGCTCCACAGAGAGTCTAGAAGTGGCGCTTACTATCTCAAAACCGACGAGGGAGTGGTAGCTCACACTTATTGCCACATGGAGGACATAGTTGAATGCGGTGGAGGTGGCTGGACTCTAGTTATGAAGATTGATGGTGAAAAGGTATGGAAATAAGGGGTCATGTTGCAGCTCTCGTAAGGTCTCACACGGATTTTCTTCTTTCACTTATAACTTAACATTCAGCTGAAGGAAAAAAGTGCCGTAATCTGGCTTGTACTTGCTTTTGCATGCCTAGTCCTATATGTAATCTGATCGTAGCTACTGGACCGTTAATCAGCAAAGAAAACTGCATTTAATCATTTATCCCTGCGGAAAATGAGTTTTTTTGTATTTCCATGTGGCCAAAATCTGGGCCTAATTTTTATAACATACTAATGTATTTTCCATCAAAATTTGATTTCCACTTTGCTTGTTAGACTACATTTTCCTATCACGCAGACCTTTGGAGCAACAAGACAGCTTACAGTCAAGCCTCTGGTAAAACTGGGCTTGATCTTGAAGAGACAAAGATGCCCAGCTACTGGAGTAATCCTTTTAACAAAATTTGCCTTGGAATGAGGGTTGGCGGGGAGACAAAATGGGTATCTATTGATAAGCAGGCAATCTCTTTATACTCCCTTCTGGCAGACAACAGGTACAAAGGAACAACCATTGGCAGAGACAAGTGGAAATCGCTTTTGAGTGAATCTTCACTCCAACCAAATTGCAACATGGAAGGATTTAATGTAATGTCGCCAACTGGGACATCCGACGCTGCCATTACCAGAATTGGAATTATAAGTAACAACGAAGGAGATTGCACTTCTTGTAATTCACGAATTGGATTTGGTTCCGCCGGCTCTAGATGGCAAGATGGTCGCAACTCCTGTGGAAATGAAGCAGCGGCGTACAACTCAGACAATGGAGAGAAACATATCAAAGCAAACTGCTACATTCTTGTTCAGTGAATCCTGGATTCCAGTCATCGATCAGTGCATTGTACCTCGAAGAACACTTTATTGCATCAGTAGTGTTAACACTTAACGTGCCGTTTTCACACTAAGCTTATGCGTGTGAAACTGCGCTAAAAAATCACAGCCATCTTGTTCTCGACGTGCAACGGATTATGCCTCGCGTCCAAAAGCCAAACACTGTACATTTCGCTAAAGACAGTAGCGCTCTGGAGATGATTACCAGTAAAAGAGCGAAAAACACGTTGCATTGCATTTGCACTCTACTTTATTTCCTTCAGTCCATCTTTATGTAGACATGATTAATTGATCATCGCAGTTATGCATTCAACTTAAGCAGTTGTGAAATTAATTAAAGCCTGAAAAAAATTCAGGCCTGAACGGGTATATTACGAACTCACAAAGTGACCAGCTTCCCAGTTAGCTTGATAGCTCAGTTGGTAGAGCACTGCACCGGTATCGGGCCTCAATTTTTTTCAGGCTTTAATTTCACAACTGCTTAAGTTGTGTGCATAACTGCGATGATCAATCATGTCTTCGTATCTTTCTCCGCAGTTCAAATATATGATATTTCTTAAATTCACTTGTATTCTTAGTCATCTTTGTAATTATGACCATCATACCGAGGCACTGGAGTGTTACAGGGGCAAATTTATTGCTTGTTATAGCAATACAATGCCCTCTGATTGGCTTTCTACGACCTTCCAAAATTACCTTTTTATGACAATATCGTTAATATACGAAATACTCTTTTAGGCCGATATTATTTACAGGCTTATTCTGGGTATATTAGATTATAAAGTGGGTGAAGCGTTGCTGATTCAGCACTGTATTTAACGAAAGAAGCTTGCATTCCCGTATCTGATGAAATGACCAAAACAATCAATCAATGAGTGTTACTCAGCTGCTAAGAGTAGTATATTAAGTTGTAAAGCGACGTTGATCAGTAAATGTAAATAGCGCTCTAGAAGTTATTAAATTATTATTGTTATTATTATTATTATTATTAT